TTCAAATTTTGGGCCCGTGTCGTTAGCGCTTGACTTGACGACGAGTGGTTTACCGTCATGCGCATTATCCACGCTTTTTCTCTCCAAGGTGTCCTCAAAGGTCTGTTGATTGGAAGTGTCGAGGTAGAGCACGCCCCTTCGTTGTTGCAGGGGTTTGCCAGCGGTGCCACATGCATATCTTCTATCTGAGCATTCAGTAGCCTACTGAGCCTTGCTTCCAATCCTTCATCATCTGGTGATCAAACTCACCAGTGTTTCCCGTTCTTGTTCCTGTTCTTGCCACTTCTTTCAAGCCTCTGCAACCGCTGACCCACCAGCTCACTTGTTATTCGGCCATCGTCAGCTGGTTGCAGGCGGTCGGTCAACTTGTGTATCTGATTTTCGAGCTTTTCAACCCTTTCTTGATATGGTCTTTGCTAACACTCGTCTAAAGTGCAGATATTGCCGTTATAGCTTGTTCTCTCCCCTGTTGACCACGTGTCCAAAAGCAGTACCTCATGTTGTATGCAGCTTGCAAGTGACATGTTACTGTCATCGACATTCTGGGTTCTTTCTGCTACAGCAATGTCTATGGAGCACGGCACGCGGGAGTAAAGCAGGTTTTCATCTGCACCACTGTTCTGATATAGGTTTGCAGTAATTCTGGCAGTCTGTCCGTAGTCCAAGACCGGGTCTACTTGTGGAGATTTTATGGAGGGGTGGAATTCCAGCCGTTCCTGGGCTTCGTTGTTCACTGGTAGACTTTGAGCAGCCGGCAGGGGTAGGTTTTGGACCACTCTTAAGTTAGCTGTGGTCCAGGGGCTTGAGAGCTCGTCAACGCAGTCCACATACTCTTCAGTTTCGTCTTTGCCTGTTGTCGCAAAGCTCCCCGTGTCCAGCTTGTCCTCGGCAACTCTAACAGGGCTTACCAAGCGCTCCACAGGGGAAATGTTCGGCAGTTGTAGCAGTAGGAGGTGCTGTAAGAGCTTGAAAGTGTTCCATAAATTTGCTCTTGTTGCCGACGGTAGAAAGTCCGCGTGCTTTCAACTCTTTTTTTTAACTCCTGGACCTTCATAGCTACCATTATTAGCGGAAATAGGCTCTCCCAGATGATACTCAGATCTTCGTTAAGCCTAGTTAGCTCCAAGCTTCAATAGCCGGTTCTCAGAGCCTGTCTCAAGTGCCCTCCTCTGCAACACCAAATGCTTACTCAAAGCAATCCTCTGGTTTCGACCTCGTATCTTTTTTGAACCTCTCAGGACAAATGTCTTTCGCGACCTCAACGCAACAGAGATAAGATCGAACGTCTTCTTATAACGGGCGCCCCGCTGCGGCGAGACGCCGAAGCACACTTGTCCCAAGCGATGGAATGTCTGCTCGTGCTACTCGCGTTCCTCGTGCTCAACGAGCTAAAGCTCGTTGCTCGGGCTACCGCTTCTTTTCTCGACGGGTTTGAACACGGCCGGACTGGAAGCGCGCGCTTTCTTTCTCGCTTCCAGTCTGGCCGCGGTTTGAAAACCATGTTTCAGGGCCTCGCCGCTGCGAAAGCTGTGCGCTGAATACCGGACTCCCCTAGGGTGCCTACATGTCTGTCTGTCTCAGGGTGAAGACATCCATTGTTCCCCTGAATGTGCCAGTGCGTGACGCTCTCGCGCACTCGGTGCGTGACTTGGGCGGCAAAATGGCGCCTATGTATTAGCCAAAGCTAGACGGTCGAGCTGAGTGACACCGGATTGCGCGCACTTCAAAATGCATAAAAAAACGAATGGGCGGAAAAATGGCTGACATGTCACCACTCAAGCAAACGCGCGTGTGTATGAAGGCACTCTAGACTCCCCGAGAAATGCTCTGTGTTACCAGATCCTCACGCTCCAAATCTGCGACCGGCCACTCTATGGCTATGTTCCAAATCTTACCCGAGTAACCTGCCTCTACGTCAGCGGGTAATACCACGTGACATCGCGAGTAAACGATCCGCGACTCGATTTTGGAACGGCCAGGATAATCACCTGGATACTACGCGGATTGGCTTCGTCTTGGGCGACGGCAAAAAGAAAACACAGCAGCGATGGCAGAAAATAGCAGACGATCCTTTTGATCATGGAGAAAGCACCCGAAGAACGGTAATATTAATGACGATGCGGTGTTTTTTGAGGTGGATCCACCAGCTCCTTTTACTCACCTTCGTTTTGAGCTGTATATTGAGATCAAAATTACTTACTCCTTACAGCTAGACATAAAAAAAGGTGTTTTTATTAATCAGCGCGATCGCTGCAATTCTAATCACGGTGCCCTAAGCGCATATATTCCACGCATTGTAATTTGCACCGATTATGTTTTGCAGAAATATATTGCACACGGTGTAGCGGTACAGCGCGAGGGTGCTTTCTCCAGAATGATATGAAACTGACGTTCGCTTTGACGCGAATGTGATTAGAGTGAAATTTTCGAAGCCTTCACTGCTTTACAAACGTTATCCTCTCATTACACACACATTGGAGAAAAAAAAAATACTACATTATCATATACTGAGTTCAAACATTTTCGGCCTTGAACGTGAGAATACGGCATTCCCCCAACGCCGAGGACGAGGATGCGGAGAAGCGCCTGTTTACGCTCGCACTCGGATAATAACAATTATACCTTCCCGGGGAAGGTGGACGGTCTGGATGTAATGGAGTCAATTCCTGCGTTGAAAACAGCAAATCGCAATAACCACAGATGCTGCAGCTAATTCTTTGTCATTTCGAACGTCCGCCACCAAAACCAACGGAGCAAGCGAGCTTTGACGGCTGTCGGCGCAGAAAGCAGACGACGAACAGATCACGTGACGTATTTACTCGATTTGATCCGACTTTACCCCCGATCGAGGAGGGTAGCGTGAGTAATTACTCCGGAGTAAACAACCCGCTTCTGGAACGCGAGTTCTGACGTCATCGAGTAAGCTCGAGTAAGTTTTGGAACGCCACGGTACGAAACTTTTACTCCGGAGTCGGATCGAGTAAATTTTGGAACACAGCCTATGGCTCTCTCATCGAACTGCCAGGCTTTGTGAGTATAGGGACGCCAAATTTGTGGGTGCTGTTTAGAGCGCATGCTCAGAACGAGCTCACATTAACAGGCTCATAAGACAGGCAATCTTGATGGTGCGGAATGCACGTTGCAAAAGAGCTGTGGAAGCTCGCCATCAGCACGTGCTCAGCATTCGCGCACATAGCTATGGCCGCCAGTGAATACTCCCTATAAGGAGTATTCACTGCGCGCCATATTTGTGGGTACTGTTTAAAGCGCCTGCCCAGAACGAGCCCATATTAATAGGCTGGTAAGACCGGAGACCTTGAGGGTGCGGTATGCACGTTACAAAAGAACTGTGGAAGCTCGCCATCAGCACGCGCTCAGCAGTCACGCACCCGCCAGTGAATACTTCCTATAGAGGAGGCTATGTCATAACCCACCATAGCCCACCATATGATATGTTTGCGCTTGTCTTGCAATTGGCGTCAAATGCGCCAGTGCACGAGGCCCGTGTCTCGAGCGGCCCTTGGAAGCAGATGGCGGTGCAGATCTGAAATGAACGGCCCTTGGAAGCGAATGGCGGCGGAAGACTCGCTCGTGGTACGTGTCTTGTGCGTTTCCACAACAATAGTTGCCGATACTTGAAAGCGTGAATTTTATCGAGGTACTTTACGAAAGTAGTTATTAGGATGCACGTATGTCATCACGTTTCTATTTCCCGTTATAAACGTTTGTTTAACCACTCATTTCATACAGGGTACTCCTATGCGATTTCAGAATGTACTCATCATGAATAGATTAGTTAAAAATGGTCATATGCTCATATACAAATTTCTTTTGTAGCCAAGTAAAGATTAAAAAAGCTAATTGTAAGCACGATGGCAATTTATAACGACGATGTTATTTGCCTTTGCAAGCCAATAAGGATGTGATTACTATGCATATCACAACAATGTTGTAAAGGCTGGTTCACACATTTGCAACGGTTGCGTTCGGATGCAACCGAAATGACTGTAACGACAAAGTCACCGGGACAAGTGTTCGCCCTACACAGCATGGCAAGCAATGCAAGAGGTAGCTTCGCGAAGCCATCCATGAGTCACGGTTTTTACGGTGTTTTGGTCGTTACGGTCGTTTCGGTTCGCAACCGTTGCAAATGTGTGAACCAGCCTTAAATGTCACCATACTGAACATTGTGTTTGTAACATCCCCCATCTGTACAGTATATGCGATGCCCATCCGCGTTACGGGATGTCCTACTGCAACTGGACAAAAAGGTATGCCGACATACACATTGCAAAGCGACTGGCATATAAGCTGTTAAAAGCAAAACGGCTAACGGGTAGCTAAAATAACTGGCAAGCATTTCGCGTTTACTAGCTATTTTGCGCCCTCACATTTTGTTCATCCGAATCTTTTTTCCCCTCATCGATCAAATTTTTTTAGCGTAAGTCGCAAGCAGGATAGATGCACCTCCTCTTATACGCATCCAAAACTATACTCTGTTTCACCTTATAATGTACAGCAGGAAAGGCTACAAGCGCGAGCTCCTTGCTCAGGGCACATCTCGGCGGCGCAAGCTCTCGTGCGTTAAGTGTAGCTCCCAACGCTATGAGCTCGCGCTTCTAGCCTTGTCTGCGGTACATTATAAGGCGAAACGGAGTATAGAGAAAACACACCGCACGCTAAGACACCGAAAATAAAGTAATAACATTTGTCCAAGACTACCCCAAGCGCAATCTCGCGAACTCATCGGTGTTTTCCAGAACTGGCACAATAATAATTCAGTCGGGGCATAATCCATATGCCAAACGCATAATTGTAACGAGAAAGTCTGAATAAAGACCTCCCACAAAACACGAATCTCTTCGAAGAAAATTGCCGACACTAGAACTGCATCATATATGCCTGTGTCCGTTAAATGTTCGTAAACCTATTCAAAAATACGGTGCCACTTAGGTGAGTTGTGAGGCAAAGTTTTGGGTCACTCTTGGTTGTCCGGAAGTTCATTTAAAATCGGCCGACGGCTGCTGTTGTTCTGTCTTGCTGGATTTTTCCTTTGACGGATCGCGCGATGTCTTTGTCGCGAAGACACCAAACCGACGGAGCCTTCTTTGACGATTCGACTCGTCCAGATCCCCGATGGTGTCTACAATGCCAAGGGCCATGGTCTCCGGGAGGTAGGTAACCAGCAGGGAAGTGAGCAGGCCGGCGAAGCTGAGCGACAGCAGAGCCAGCTCGCTGCTGGAGAAGAGGCCCCCCACGTAGAAGATGGGCGCCGCCATGCCCCCGATCCGCCCGAAGAAGTAGCAGGTGAACACACCCAGACTGCGCACCACGGTGGGGAAGATCTCGACGCTGATGATGTAGATGAGCACGGCGGCCATGTCCAGGAACACGTCGATCGCCGCGGTCATGAACGCCACCAGTGTGGGATCTAGATTAAGCACCGAAAACAGGGTGGAGAAGCCAACGAGCAGCGAGAACCCCATCAGTACGCCCCAGAGGCTGTGCCTGCGTCCCAGAAACATCATGGAGCGGTAGAGGAGGTAGATGAACGACAACTGGAGGAAGAGCTTCAACACCAGTAGCCAGTGCGTGCTCGGTCCTCTCGCCAGGAAGCGTCCGTAGTAAGTGAGGACGACCATAAACCAACACCACACCATGATGACGCCGCGACGAAGCAGGCTCATTGCCCCCATAGTGTCCCCCACACTGCTCTTGCTGGCTCTCGTCGTGTCCTTTCCTGCGTACTGCCAGGCCGCGCTGACAAGACGCCACTGGCGAGCGGCGTCGGCCACCTTGACGTCGTTTCTTGAGGCAGCCCACAGCACCGTCTTCTCGGCCGCCTCGAATTTCTTCTTGGAGAGCAGCCAGTGGGGCGACTCGAGGGTGACGTAGAACGCAGACATGAGCAGCGAGGTGGGCAACATCACCAGAATCTGGAGCGTAGTCCAATTAGGCACGATGTGACCCGTGACCGTCAGGAACAGCGGGGCAGTGGTGTAGGCCGCGGCCTTCGTGATGACACAGTACATGCACTGGTACTCCCGCGTGGACAGCTCGAAGAGCAGCACGAAGCTGGTGATCTGGAGGGTGCTCACCGACGCCGACACCCAGAAGCGCAGAAACAGGAAAGCCACGTAAGCGTTGGTAAAGCAAAGGGCCAGGCCCGACATCATCAGGACCGCAATGGCCGCACAGATGACCGGACGCCGACCCACCTTGTCGGACAGGACGCCCATGAAGGGCGCCGCAGTCATGGCGCCGCTCATATACAGGATGGATGAGAGGGTCAGGAGCCATTGGTTCTGGCACACCAGGTCCCATTGTGCCACGAGGGAACGTCCGGCACCCGGGCCATAGTCCCAGCTCTGGCAGGGCCTTGTCGACCTGTTCGTGGAAGCCACGGACAGCGGAGGATCGTAGCGAACGCACCGGAGCCACTTCCCGTCGGCGTCCCGAGGCGTGCTGATGTTGCGCCACTGCGCCGTCGTGAGGTTGGAATACTCGGCGGGCTGCTTGCACCAGTGGTCCACGTCCGCAGACATGATGGTCGGAACCAGGTTGTGCAAGAGCAGCGCGATGTCGGACAGCGTGGCGATGAACAGGGCCATGTACTGCGTGGGGCCATTGCCGAAGATCCTTGACAGTTCGTGAGTGGAGGCGACGGCCTTCGCTGGGCGCGTTGCTTCTGACTTTTCAGCTCTTGCAGTTCTGACTTCTGAAGGTGAGTGATGAGGCAGAGTGTTCGAGGTGGCTCCCACCTGCAAAGCCGGAGCGGAGGTGGCGGCTTGCATGTTCTCCGTTGACTGCGGGGCTTGAGCCTTCTGCTCCAATTTTGCCGAGGAAGCTCGCTGGGAGGATGCGTCGATTGTCTGAGCTTCCATGAGAGGAGCGTCTCGATGGCTCTTTTTCGAGCTCGATTTTTCTGGTTGCTCTGACTGAGACTTCTTCCGCCGGCTCGTTCCTTTCTCCATGACTGCCGCTGTCGGTGTTCCAAATGAAAATCAGCCGTTGTGGTCCGCGACAATCTGCTCGAGCTCAAGCCTCGTCGTCGTCTCGTCCCCAGTGGGCGATACGACGAGACAAGGCAAGATGCGAATAATAGTTGTCGCAGAATTCGTTCTATATTCCAGATGTACCTAAAAATTTATCTCTCTCTCTCTCTTTCTATATATATATATATATATGTAAGTAATGCAGAGTGGTTAGAGAACAATCGACCGGGAAAATGTAATAAGATCCGTACTTGCGAACATGGTTAAAATCGCGCACAAAGAGACGAGGACAAACGAGGAAGGAACACGGAACACAGACAGGCGCGCGTGTTCCTTCCTCGTTTGTCCTCGTCTCTTTGTGCACGATTTTAACCATGTTCAACGTTTACCAACTCGCCCAACTTACTACTCTTCTACGTACTTTCGAAGTTGCTATGCTAGGAAGTTCATTGTATGTATTACGACAGTTTCGCTGAGAGGCTCGGCTTCGTCAGGAGATGGCATCTTCAGACTAAGCGAGTGGAGCAGGTACAAGGCTGGGGCTAAACAAGAGACGAGATGGAAAATTCGTTCGCGCGCTTTACCGTAATCCGTTAGACTTGTACCTGTTCCACGAGTGGTAACTTTAGTGCACAACTACGCTTTTCACGCGCTCAAAGTCTTTCTGAAAAGTACTGATTTAATGGTTTTCGATGACGCTGAGCATGTTTCTAATTTGCACAATGTGTCATTTTTCACTAAATAAAAAGTTAATTATCGAATTTTAATGAATTAGCCGACTGATCGTTGCGATTAGCCCCCTATACTATGTCCCCCTGGCCGTATAACTCATCTGCACAAGCCGCATAAATGTAAATTTCACTGCTTTTTTTAAAACAAATCCGTTAAATAAAAAAAACGGTTTATATACATATTTGTGTGTGTGTGTTTGTACGTGTGTGTGTGCGTGCGTGTGCCTGTGTGTGTGTGCGTGTTTTTGAAAACGAGATAGATTACTCACGAAAGTAGCTTTTAGAAAAAATTAAAGCCGTTTACACTCTCTGTAACGCCGAATTAGAGCGCAGCTCTTGAGGAGGAGGAGCCAAGGCCAGAAAAGTCACGTGACCCCCTCCCCAAAATCACGTGGGGGTCACGTGACCTCGGGGGGGGGGGGGGGTCACGTGACCTGAGGGGGTCACATGACCTAGGGATGTCACGTGACCTCAGGGGTCACGTGACCTGGGGGTATCACGTGATCTCGGAGGTCACGTGACCCCCAGAGAAAATTTTCCGCTAGATTTAGCGGGAAAATTTTTCGCTAGATTTAGCGGGGAACTTTTTCCGCTAGATTAAGCGGGGAAATTTTTCCGCGAGATTTAGCGGGGAAATTTTATCGCTAGATTTAGCGGGGAAATTTTACCGCTAGATTTAGCGGGTAAAATTAGATTTAAAGGGAAAATTTTTCCGCTAGATTTAGCGGGAAAATTTTTCCGCTAGATTAAGCGGGAAAATTTTTCCGCGAGATTTAGCGGGGAAATTTCTCCGCTAGATTTAGCGGAAAGCTTTCCCCGCTAAATCTAGCCAAAAAATTTCCCCGCTAAATCTAGCGGAAATATTTTTCCGCTAGATTTAGCAGGTAAAATTAGATTTAGCGGTAAAATTTTCCCGCTAGATTTAGCGGGAAAATTTTCCGCTAGATTTAGCGGGGAAATTTACCCATAATGCACCGCGCGGTTACGCCGACAGCGACGGCGACGGCGACGCCGACGGTGACGCCGACGCCGCTCAAGCCGGAAACGGGCGCCTAAGAGCTGCGCTCTAAAAATATGTTGCCACAGACGCGAGCTGAGTTAGCGTGCAACGCTGTCAAAGCTACTGGCGCGAGCGCGTGGAATCATTTATGGATTTGTTTGTGCGAGAACGCGTGCAAATGATCAACGAGATCAAGCCCCACGCTCGCCCCAGTAGCTTTGACAGCGTTGCACGCTAAGAATGAAATATAGTATAGCTTTTTATTCCTGTGTGCAGGAGCAGCTAGGTTTTTTCTTCTTTTGTTTTCTTGCATTCTTTTTCTTTTTTTTTGGGGGGGGGGGGGGGGGGAGGGAGGGGGAACAGTTGCACCACAGAAAAACTTTTTCTTTACAAAATTAATTGGATATTTCGCTTATTGGCTTATTTAGTCGTTCTTTTGTGTCCTGAAGGGTGCTAAAAAAATTTCATTTATGTTCAAAAAATAAAAACAAAAAATCGACCTGATGTTTGCTCTACATGCTCCACCGTTTCACTCAGAACGGATTGAATACGACGTTATTAAGCAGGTAAGCTGGTTTTTAATCGACTTACCAAACCCCAAAATAGAGAAAAAAAAAAAAAAGAAGGTGGACAAACACAACGGCTAAAATACAGAGCTGTGTTTGAAACTTTTTTTTGTGTTCGATGCCTTTTTTTTTGCCTCCGTCTCGGGTTTTAGTTTTTGGACATGTTGATTTTTTTTTTTTTTTTTCTTGTTCAGGAAGTGTCAGTACTTCATCTCTAAAATTCATTATCTGCCGGAACAATGGGAGTCAAAGTGTGTGTGTGTGTGTGTGTGTGCGTGCGGGCGTGCGTGCGTGTGCGTGCGTGTGTGTGTGTTTGTGTGTGTGTGTTTCTTTCTTTCCTTCTTTCTTTCTTTCTTTCTTTCTAGGAAGAGCGCGTGTAAACAATTCCCCGCATCGAGATTTGCTTCATTGTCGACGTTCAAGCTCCGCACAAAATGCGCGCACAGATTTTACAGGTTTTGGACGTCCGCCGGAATTACGTAAGGCCTCCGCACCATGTTGTCGAATGAAGGTGGCGATGTGTGCGGGTTTGTGCACGGCTGAATAAACACACACATACACACCGACTGAATAAACGTTAGGAAGTGTTCGTAGATCGGGATTCCCCCTCCGCTAAGCCCTCCGCAACAAAGAAGCCGCTACTGCGCCCGCGCTGCGATGGCCCACACTGTAGAGTTTTGGGTATCGCAACGGGTTGCGTTGCACCGCCCTGCACCTTCCCCCCTCCACGCTTCCCCTTTGCACCGCCACGAACAAGGCCTATTTATAGATAGGCCTTGTTCGTGGCGGTGCAGGTGGAAAGCATCTCTACTGCGTCTGACCGTACCTTGGAAAACGGCAAAGGATCAAGGTCCCAGTGAGCCGATCAACGCGTCGGAAAGAGTCACGTGTATTCTATCTCACTGGTTGCGCGCAGTGCTGTCGAAGCCATGGGCGGGAGAGAGAGGAAAGCAGTGAAAGGGCTAATCTTCGAGGAGGAGAAAAGCTACGTCTTGACACACAAATAAGGGCCGGGGTAAAAGAGAAGCTTTTTCTTTTCCAACTGCTTGGGTTACATTCTGGCTCTTGTATCTTTGGCAAGGGAGGTAACTCCCTCGATGTAACGGGCTTCGCATCCGTCGCTTCGTATCGTCTCTTTCCCCACGGTGAAACGAAATACAGCGGCACCACAGTCGCCAGTGCAGGAAGTGTCAGTCACCAAAGCGAGTGTCCGCACTCTAAAACCGGAGGGGGATTGAGGTTGACGCAATATAATCGATTTAATCAGGAGTCGCACGATGCCACCGCTGCCACGGTGCATTCTGGTACTGGCAGTTCTTCCCAGTTTTGCGGTCGCGCCAGTGCGCGCTGTGTCGTCTGTGCCCGGCGTTTGGAAATTTTCGGGTTAGTACGGGACTTGTTTACTCACGGTTTTTGATGGGTCGATTCCCCCGTTGTGTGCCAGGGTGCTGCAATAACAGCATCAGGCAAAAAAGGCATCGAGTTTGATGTCTTCCCGAAGGAAAGCAGCCTCCGAAAAGAGGAGGAGGAGGAGAAAAACTTTGTTCAAAAGCTCAAGTCCGAGCCGTCTTAACCTTCCACACTGGAGGAGGAATTGTCCTTCATAACTTTGGTTAAGGTTGTTCGTGGCAGGGGGCCTAGGATCTAGGAGCCATAGATCGTTTTGTAGTTCAGGAAAAGGTGCTGCCACGTTTACCCAGGGGCATACGCAAGGTAAGAGTGACTAATGGTGAATTCCACTGGTAGATCTGGAGTGCTGTCCAAAATCCGCGAGGGAGGTAAAATTCCGCTCCGTGGGACCCGCTCCGAATCGACGAAGGGAAGATAAACTCGCATTTTTTTTTTAATTATAGCAGTCTGGGCTGTAAATTTGTAACCATAGAAACTATTTAGAAGCATGTTTCAGCATCTGCTCGTCCGCGCAAATAAAGCGTAAAAAAAAAGGAAACAGTTAACCACAATTAGCGTTTTATCAAAGCGCTAACAAAGGTTTCCTTTCTGCTTTTTTCTAATTCTTATTTTTATTTCAGGTGTGCTGCTCGCGTGCCCAAAAAAATAAAAGGTCAAATTAGTCGTTAGTTTTTTATACAGCAGGAGGTTAGTCTGCCAGAATATGGCGACATTGTTACCCACAGTAGGTAAGCAATTTAACCAGTGCAGTACGACTGCTAGCCTAAAGTTTTTAACGTGCACCAGGCAGTAGTGATACACGACCGAACGCCGTTACGATGCTCATCCAGATCGAAACAGGCAGGGGAGGGGATTTAGCCCAGGATAGAGTGCACTAGAAAGGACCTTCTAGTACACTCTACCCAGGATCTATGGGTTCTGCAGCGCGAGCTTTCGCTCCCCGTCGTGTGGGCTAGAGTCACTAAATAAAGCTACGCTTTCAGAATACCGACTCTCAAACTAAGCGTCTGAAGCGCGTCGGGGGCCGCCATCTTAGGTCCGCGCGCAGATGGAGGAGCGACTGTAGCTGAGCCAAGCCGAGCTGTAGTCGTCGCCTGCGCCAGCTGCCGCGGCCGCAGCTGTGGCAGCGAATCAAAGTCGTGTTATTCGTATCTCAGCGTAACACGGAAAACTCGCGTTCCGAGTGACGGACTTCAGCGTGCGCGCGCAGTAAACAGCAAACAGCAGCAAGCAGAAGATCGCTGCACTCAAGAGGGTGGCGCTGAAAAAAAA